CTACACCGGGGGGGGGGGCTGGAGGGGCAGCTGTATGGTCGTCACATATGCATGTTAACATTTTGTTATGTTACTCCACCCTCCTTCCTTAAATAGGAATGCTCGATCATGTTAGTAGAAAAATTCTACGATTTGCCCTCAGCACCAACACTGCCCCTCCTGCCCTAATCTTGTGCAGGCGTCCCTGATAACGATTATCATTAATTACCGCTTGTAATTTTAAGAAGCTGAAATTAAGATTACATTCATTCAACATAGCCCTATATTTTATTACGCCACTGTGTGTAGGATAAATAGTACACACAACTATGTTAGATACCGACGATATTAATAAAGAAAGGAATATGAACGAAGTAAGAAAATATACATTATTGATAGTTACTTTGTTATCGAACTAATGCAAGATTATCTCGATCTTGAGGAAATTCAAATTCTTTATTTTCCCTAAGCAATGGAACACACTCATGCCAAGCCAAGATCTTACGGTGGCCCACAGGTGCCACGGCAAAACTTACTTTCTCACGGCAAAACTTTCTTTTTCACGGCAAAACTTTCTTTTTCGCGGCAAAACTTTCTTTCTCACGGCAAAACTTACTTTCTCACGGCAAAAATTACTTTCTCACGGCAAAACTTTCTTTCTCACGGCAAAACTTTCTTTCTCACGGCAAAACTTTCTTTACGTGTTGTTGTGTACGTGATACTTAGATCTAATCAATGCTTTAGACGTTTTAAACTTCGCAGAATTTGCGAATACCTACATCTTCTCTTGATAATTCTTGCAGAAAGACAGCCCAGAAATGTTCTAAAATTTATCTAGGTTGGGCTAGGCTAGGCCTATATGCCTATCTCAACGAAACAGTACCGCATGCAAGGTCTTTGATTCCTTTGTTTTGAAAGCAGTGAAAAAGATCAATTCGTTGAAAATTGGCGTGCACATAAAATTCGTGCAAAAAAATCACGTACGTGCACTTGGCACGCTCGATTGTGGCTTGTAAAAAACCTATAAATTGTGTATTGTGTTTAATATCATATCATATCGTATTACTCACAGGGTGGGTTGATGGCTAGGTATTTAATGAAATAATAAGCATGGGCATAATATAAGGGGAGAAAAAAATCGAAGTGGTTGCCCAACAAACAACATCCATTGTTTATGAAAATTTTGCCTGACTGAATCATGGTAGATTTCTGCCTGATTATCGCTTTTTTGGAAACTTTTCAGTGTTGAGGAACTACAGTTGCCGCTACAGCCCCCTTATCTCCCCAGACCCTTGTCTACTACGCCTATGTTAGAAAAGCAAAAGGAACAAAGCAATACGACGACGAGAATCCAATGTCACGAGATAAAATTTTCAAAATAAATTTAATTTAAGTAATAAATTAAATTCAAAGAAAGTTTTGCCGTGAGAAGTAAAGTTTTGCCGTGAGAAATAAAGTTTTGCCGTGAGAAATAAAGTTTTGCCGTGAAAAAAGAAAGTTTTGCCGTGAGAAAGTAAGTTTTGCCGTGAGAAAGTAAGTTTTGCCGTAAGAAAGTAAGTTTTGCCGTGAGAGAGAAAGTTTTGCCATGGCACCTGTGGGCCACCGTAAGATCTCGAAATGCAAACAATCTTTTTGTGTTACGAAAGTTTAAAATGGCTTTTAAAAGCAAACTTTTAGAAATTCGTCCACGACATTTTTCAGATGTGCAGGAATATTTAAAAAAATGTTTTGAGTGTGCACTTTCCATACTCTGCAGTTTGGTGGTCCGATTCCATTAATTAATATTGTTGACCTCCTGACCAGACACACAATGCAGGTTACAGCAATACAAAATATTTTAATGTGATGTTATTTCACAAGTCAAGTGTAACAAATTCAGTTAAGTGTGTTCCAGTATTCATTACTGTGATCTTTAAAGCTTTAACAACTATAACAAAAGATTTTAAAAGAGCTCTATTGTTTTGCTAATGCATTAAAAAGCTTTCAGTACGTTTTGGCTACAGTTTTGACACAAAGAGGCTAAAATATAAGCACCAGGTTTATATGTTAACAACATAGAAGCTCACATAGCTCACTGGTATATCATTTTCTATTGTTCAGGTTCAGGTTAAGGTTCGTTATATTTTAAATTCCACTACATACATTTCCGCAAAATACTAAATAAAAATACAGCAACATCAAATATCAAACAATAATTATAACAATAAAATTTGGAACATAACTTATCTGTAGGAAATGTATGTATGGGGAATTATTTAAAAGAGGAACTCTCTCAGTAGCAAAGCTAGTCGAGGAGAGAGGCCCCGCTATACATTAAGATATTTCAGCACTTCAAAGATATCAAAATAAAATGAATCCGAAAATAAAACTCCGATTTCCGTACGTGGGAAGTGAAAAACAGTGTGAGAAATTTCAAGGATTAGCTGTCAGTGTTTGATCAGAGCACTTCAAGGATCCAGCACGGTAGAAAAACCTCTAAAAAGGCATCTAGGAAGAAAAGTGTATGTAAATTTCAGCAAAGTTTTGGCAGAACATGCACTTGATGGGAAAATTCTATCAATGATATTGTAGTGCCAGAAGAATTGATTGAAAACATGTGAATTTGCGAGGAGGTTTGAACTAAAGCCATTCGTTGAGAAAATCTGGTTTATCCGTACTAGTGTGATGATTTAGCAGCTGTAATTTTCTATCAAATAGACCTTTTTATATGGTTATATCAAAGTCAAATTTATTAACAAAATTTTGCAAATTTCATGACCTCCATTTTATAGCAATATTTACAGTTTGCTTTTCAAATTTTTAGCTAACCCCAAGAAATTAAAATTCCATGCCTAAGTAAAAAAAGTTGTGGTTTTCAAAAAAGGTAACAGAGAGGATCTGCTAGTATATATTTTCTTGCCTTGGCCCACATTCCACACTCTAGGTCTTTTGCTTATCAGCTTTGTTTGTAGCCTTCAAACATTGATGTCTGTGTCCATTGAAAGTAATTTCCTATCCTAAGTTTCAGTGACAGTGATAAGTATTTTCCTCGAGGTTGAGCCAGAGAGTATGCACAAAAGCTTGACAACACTGTAGTACCCCCGAAGTCATGCCCATGAAAATAAAGAGCCCCCTTTCAACTGATAATTTACCATCTGAATATTGCTGTGTTTGCAGCTTTCAAACATTGATGTCTGTGTCCATTGAAAGCAATTTCCTATCCTAAGTTTCAGTGACAGTGATAAGTATTTTCCTCGAGGTTGTGCCAGAGAGTATGCACAAAAGCTTGACAACACTGTAGTACCCCCGAAGTCATGCCCATGAAAATAAAGAGCCCCCTTTCAACTGATAATTTACCATCTGAATATTGCTGTGTTTGCAGCTTTCAAACATTGATGTCTGTGTCCATTGAAAGCAATTTCCTATCCTAAGTTTCAGTGACAGTGATAAGTATTTTCCTCGAGGTTGTGCCAGAGAGTATGCACAAAAGCTTGACAACACTGTAGTACCCCCGAAGTCATGCCCATGAAAATAAAGAGCCCCCTTTCAACTGATAATTTACCATCTGAATATTGCTGTGTTTGCAGCTTTCAAACATTGATGTCTGTGTCCATTGAAAGCAATTTCCTATCCTAAGTTTCAGTGACAGTGATAAGTATTTTCCTCGAGGTTGTGCCAGAGAGTATGCACAAAAGCTTGACAACACTGTAGTACCCCCGAAGTCATGCCCATGAAAATAAAGAGCCCCCTTTCAACTGATAATTTACCATCTGAATATTGCTGTGTTTGCAGCTTTCAAACATTGATGTCTGTGTCCATTGAAAGCAATTTCCTATCCTAAGTTTCAGTGACAGTGATAAGTATTTTCCTCGAGGTTGTGCCAGAGAGTATGCACAAAAGCTTGACAACACTGTAGTACCCCCGAAGTCATGCCCATGAAAATAAAGAGCCCCCTTTCAACTGATAATTTACCATCTGAATATTGCTGTGTTTGCAGCTTTCAAACATTGATGTCTGTGTCCATTGAAAGCAATTTCCTATCCTAAGTTTCAGTGACAGTGATAAGTATTTTCCTCGAGGTTGTGCCAGAGAGGATGCACAAAAGCTTGACAACTCTATAGTACCCCCGAAGTCATGCCCATGATAATAAAGAGCCCCCTTTCAAGTGATAATTTACCATCTGAATATTGCTGTGTTTGCAGCTTTCAAACATTGATGTCTGTGTCCATTGAAAGCAATTTCCTATCCAAAGTTTCAATGACAGTGATAAGTATTTTCCTCGAGGTTGAGCCAGAGAGGATGCACAAAAGCTTGACAACTCTATAGTACCCCCGAAGTCATGCCCATGAAAATAAAGAGCCCCCTTTCAACTCACTATTTACCATCTGAAAATTGCTGTGTTTGCAGACACAAAATTCAATAAGCATTAACAGACAAAGAACATAGAAAAGTTAGGCGTTAGTAAGAGAATACTACAAGTTTTTTGTTTTTGATAGTACAACTGTATAGCCTAGTACTAGTGTTTTAAGATCAGGCAGACACTTGATCGAAAATAAAAACCCAACCAGCCTTAAAATTAGTATAAAGGCTCATTCTTGCAGACTTTTACGTAAAAAAAATGATGTTTTTTCTCAAGCCATTGCTCCATCATGTACCAAGTAATCTGTCAATCACATGCAATTTTTTGTACAAGGAATTATTTTTGTAAAATATCTGTAAATTCTTCGAAAAGTAAAACAAAATGATAAAGACTACGAGATATAAATTTAAAAGAGCACTTTCGAACCTAAAGTGTCTCCTTATCCATTTATTGTCAGTTATAAGAATCTATTCAGACTGATGCGAAAGATTATAGGCAAAAATTTACTTTGGGTTATTTCTATGAAGCAATGGCCTTATCGAAATCGTTTCTGGTGAATATTTCTTAGCTGTTTTTTCAATATGCTTCTCTTAAGATATTCGAAAAAGATTTAAAAGACTTTGTTTAGTGAAGCAAGCACGCAGCTAATTCTTGATTGGCAACATTTATTCTTCCTTGCTAGAGACATAATGCCGATTTTCAAGAATCAAGCAGCAGTTACAGATATGGTTGAGCTTATGATTGTCGTCATCAAAGAGTCCTACTCAAATGTGGACGTGATAGCAGGTGATAATCTGTTTGATGTTAAAGGCAATCTGTCTCGTTGTGGATTGGTTAACGAGAACAATAGCTGAAACAATAGCCTAAACACAATTCCAGCGCTCCGCCATATTTTTTACGATGCGATAAATTAAAGGGGACTGGAAACAATAAAAATCCCTTTGTTCTTATAATCAATCAACGTCGTGACAGATTGCCTTTAACCGACTTGATCTTTTGACGTTTGTTCTCTCCTAAACAAATCAATAAAGTATAAGTAATTATATCCTTCCACTAAATTACCTTTTATGAGAACATTAGCCAGTAAAAGCAAATCTGCTCATTTCTCTTCTAGATCTTCTCCTCATCTTTTGTTTCTCTATTTCTGTTTCCCTTTATCTTTTGTTCTCTTCTAATAATGTTAATAAAAGATCCTTTAGGTAAGTTATTATATCCTTTTATTGAATCACTTTTTGTTAAAATACTAGACAGAAATAGCAAATTTGCACTTTTGTCTGCTAGATCTTCAGCGGAAACATGCAAAGGAATTTCCGTTGTTCTGTTCATTTGCAAATGCCTTGCTTCCCTCAATTCAAACTTGAGACTTAAATTTGCAGTTTCTTTAGATCAAAATCGGCAGCTTTTCCTTTGACTTTCATATCAATTTACCTGAGGCGAATCTTTATATTTGATTTGACTTGTTTTAAGATGAGGAAAATAAAATTAGGCCCCTTTAGCGTGTCCTGGACATGCATTGAGATCACGTTAAAGATATTTCTGTTTACGCTTTTTTTGATTCAAATCAGTAAACTGTATTATTGCAAATCTAAATACGAAGCTGTTTGAATATTTCTTGAGAAGGCGTTGGGTATTGATATTTGAATGAGAGCACCGGTAGCCGTCTGAGGGCCTCGTGACCTCTTGATTCCTCGTTTGCGTTGATTGTTTGTTTCAAATGCAACTGGTTCATAACTACTGGTTTTAGACCTGACTCGCTTCTGGACGCTTTTTGGAGATCTGCAGCAAAATCTGCATAAAACCTGCCTCCAAATGGCAGTGCGACAAGAATTAACTCGAATTTGATGGTTTGTCATCAACTAGATGTGATACTGGCAAATGGGGAATGATGAGATATTTCATAATTATTTGCAAAGACTTTCACAGTCTTTTGACAACTACCTTTCAGCTCTAGTTGCTTAGAAGCATGATGAGAGATATGTTATATGGTGAGCTAATTTGATACCTTTCTTCGTGCTAGTCATTGCTTATCAAGTTGCAATTTCGGTTTGTCAAGCCACGTTAAAGCAACATTTCTTGAGATGCATTTTCCAGTACCTTACTAAGTTTCTTAACATGTCTGTTTGAAACAGAAACAGATGTATTCTTGAATCAAAGAGTTACATTTTGTTCTGGGTAGAGAGCTAGATGTTCAAGAGGGTCATAAAAGGGTAAGATATTTCTAAAATCTTCTACCTGTGACGCAGTTGCAAAAATCTTGTTTCGTTTTGATTTGTATGTCGAAGTCAGAGTGATCTATAAAATCAGACAAGATGGTTTAAGGGATATTCTGTGATACTGTCTTCTTGAATTTCATCATGAATTGCCAATAAACCAAAGTAAACCAAAATTCAGAATTATCATCATCATCCTTGTTTATTTCAGGCTTGGATGCTCGCGGGTTCCTTGTAGCACCATTAGTTGCTAACAAGTTAGGGAAACCTTTCGTGCCCGTAAGAAAGGCTGGAAAACTACCTGGCAAAACAATTAGCAAAAAATCTACAAAAGAATACGGAGAGGTATGTTGCGTTTGGTCATCAGCTGTTTCGTTTTTGAAAATACTGTAAAAAGCACTTCAACAGATCCTCCAAATATTTCGGTTGAAGGTCGTTATGCTATTCTAGCTAGAAGCCTTATTGACCAAATTAGCTTCAAATTAAGTAAATATGAAATAACCAAATGGTAGTTAGACTGGCACATTAGAGAAGTAGCAAAGGGAATGCAAAGTTGAGTTAATGAAGGTTCCAGTTATTGAGTTTTGTCCAATCTGCATATTTTTTTTGTTTCTAATTACGTCATCTGGTCTCCAAACTCCTTGGTCCCACAAAACGTGTGTCTTCTACATGTTAAGCTTGAATTAGCCTATATTTGCCGGGACTTTCCGATTTTCGCTTGAAAGAGAAATTATCTCATCTAATCTTGGGATCTGTTTTTCAAAAAATGGACATTAAATAATCATGTTGTAAGAAACATCATTGTTGTTGTTGTTATTGTAATAAAACCTGTGTGATAATTCGTAGATTTTTACATTACGATATTCCATAGGACGTTTTGGAAATTCAAGCTGATGCAATCAACCAGAATGACAAAATTGTTATCATTGACGATTTGCTTGCCACTGGCGGTATGCATTTTGCTGCTTTTTTATTATCTTTTGCCATTGAATATCTTGCTAGTTATAGTAAAAGGAAATTAAGTATGCCTCAGTCTTATATTGCTGGTTCCTGCTATTGCAATGTGAACACGAACCCCGCTTGGTTGTTGCTCAATGAGGACATCTGTCACTACAGTGACATCACATATCACATCATTAACATGACGTCACATATCATTAACATGACGTCACATATCACCAACTTGATGTCACATATCACTAAAATGATGAGCCATGTCACTAAAATGACGTCACATGTCACTGAAATGATGTCACATGTCACTGAAATGACGTCACATATCACCAGCTGGACGTCACATATCATTAAAATGACGACACATGTCACTGAAATGACCCCTTGCGTCACTTAAGTTTGATGCGAAGCTCTTGATTTAGTAATGCTCATTGTTTCCTAGGTACATTAGCAGCTGCTTGTGACCTTTTCAAAGAAGCTGGAGGAAACGTTATCGGCAGCATTTGCCTTGTTGAGCTTACAGATTTGAATGGAACGGATAAAATAAAAGATATTAACTTTACTTCATTAATCAAGTATTAAAGTTTCTACTTTTTGTATTGTTTCAAAGATAACAAGATGAATACCCAAATTTTTGATTTTAATCATATATGATGTGATATCATTCATGCAACGCTACTGGAGCAATGGTAGAACAACCCTTAATAACAGAAGACAACGAGACTATGTTATTGGTTTCATTTGAATAACGATTTTTCATGGACGCTTAAAGGAATCGCATATCAACGACATAAAGAAACCTTTACTGTTGAGATCCGTATGTAAGTATTAAATCAATTTGAAAAAGTTATGAAAATGTAAAATTCTTATCTCAAACACATTAAAGTTAGTTTTTTAAGTATCCTATGGTAATGAATCGGTATAAAGTGGCAGTTTATTTCATTTCTAAACATAAAACTTATTAAACTTATTAAACATAAACCTTATTAAATGAGCTGATTTGAATTATTGTCCTTACCAGGATGCATTTCAACACCGGTTCACTTTGAATTAATTTTAAACATTGTAGAGGTAGTACAACTCTGGACACCATGGTTTTGATCTCAAACTTTGGCCAACTTTTCACATTTTCAACCAAAATTTTTTTTTCATTGAGTCATTTAATCTTTTAAGACATCCAGTTTTCCTGTTAGGTGCCTGCAAGCAGTGTCACAGTCTCTGCCATCAATATACCTTCTTCAAGCTTGATTTTTCCACTCTCTTTTCCAAATCCCTCTCTCATTTCCAACTAAAAAATCCCCACTATTATATGATCATATTTTAATTTAATTTTTTTTGTTTACCATTCCATATACCTCACATATCTGACCTTTAGTAACGGTTTTGTTTTGTGGTAGCTATGTTTTCCATTCTGTATTGGCCTCTGTGTTTTTGTGTCATCCATGGTCACTAGCTACGTCAGGCATTAGTGTCCTTTCATGTCATTTTGTGCTTTTGTCTTGTGAAGTCATCAGTATCATGGTCATGGCTGTGGTTGCTATATTATTTTTTTTCTAATTTTTGTACATAGTTTGGCTTTTGTATCAACCTTTTACGTGGCTGATATTGTTTCTTTGTTAATGTTAGATGATTTCGTTTCTTCATCTGTTGTTTCTTGGGTTGTAACATCATGTAAATATTTATTAATCTCAATTCCATAATTATTTTATTCGAAATGCTTTCTAATTTTGTGTCCTAACATGTCTTGTGGTATTTTGCTCCATTTTTACTGTTTCTTGTCCTGTTATTGTTTCATCTTTTCTTTTGTGATATTGTTTATTTTTCTACACTATGTGATCGTGTTATTTTTATTTGTAAGATTGCGTTTATATAAACAGTTTTATGTCGGTAATTTCATTTGAGCATCATGTCCGTAGACAGTAATTTGTTTTATATTTTGTTTTGTCTTGTTTTGTCCTGTTTGGTTTGGTTTGATCTTGTCTTGTCTTGTCTTGTGCCTTGTATCTTGTGCCTTGTGTCTTGTCCCTTGTATCTTGTGCCTTGTATCTTGTGCCCATTTCTTGTCCCTTGTATCTTGTCCCTTGTATCTCGTGCCTTGCATCTTGTCCCTTGTATCTTGTTCTTTGTATCTTGTGCCTTGTATCTTGTGCCTTGTGTCTTGTATCTTGTGCCTTGCATCTTGTATCTTGTCCCTTGTATCTTGTGCCTTGTATCTTGTGCCTTGTGTCTTGTATCTTGTGCCTTGTATCTTGTATCTTGTCCCTTGTATCTTGTGTCTTGTATCTTGTGCTTTGTATCTTGTACCTTGTATATTGTGTTTTTGTCTTATTGTCCTGTCTTGTTTCTTGTTCCTCGTATTTTATGTCTTGTCTTGTATCTAGTGCTTGTGTCTTGCGTCTTGTCTTTTTGTCTTGTGTTGTCTTGTATCTCGTGTCTTGTGTCTTTTTTTGTCCTGCGTATTGACTTTTTGTCTTGTTTTGTTTTGTGTTGTCTTGTATCTTGTGCCTTGTATCTCGTGTCTTGTATCTTGTATCTTATGTCTTGTATCTTATGTTTTTGTCTTGTCTTGTCTTGTTCCTTGTATCTTGTGCCTTGTATCTTGTATCTTGTACCTTGTATATTGTGTTTTTGTCTTATTGTCCTGTCTTGTTTCTTGTTCCTCGTATTTTATGTCTTGTCTTGTATCTAGTGCTTGTGTCTTGCGTCTTGTCTTTTTGTCTTGTGTTGTCTTGTATCTCGTGTCTTGTGTCTTTTTTTTGTCCTGCGTATTGACTTTTTGTCTTGTTTTGTTTTGTGTTGTCTTGTATCTTGTGCCTTGTATCTCGTGTCTTGTATCTTATGTCTTGTATCTTATGTTTTTGTCTTGTCTTGTCTTGTTCCTTGTATCTTGTGCCTTGTATCTTGTATCTTGTCCCTTGTATATTGCGTTTTTGTCTTATTGTCCTGTCTTGTTTCTTGTTCCTCGTATTTTATGTCTTGTCTTGTATCTAGTGCTTGTGTCTTGCGTCTTGTCTTGTGTTGTCTTGTTTTTGTCACATGTCGTCTCGTTTTTTCTTCTGTTGTCTTGTATCTTGTGTCGTGTGTATTTTTCTTGTGTATTGTTTTGTGATGTGTTGTCTTGTATCTTGTGCCTTGTATCTTGTGTGTTGCGCCTAATTTTTTTGTCTTGTTATGTCTTGTGTTGTCTTGTATCTTGTGTTTTTGTTTTATGCCTTGCGTCTTGTGTTTTTTGTGTGTGTCTTGCCTCTTGTGTCTTGCATCTTATTATTTTGTCTTGTTATCCTGTATTTTTGTTCTGTATTTTGTCCACTTTGCTCGTATCTTGCCATGGTATGGTAAATCAACTTCTAATAATTTTAATTTTTGTTAAATTAGTATTGGTAATCATGTTTTCTTTTAGTTTTCCATACTTAGCTTTATTTGTTTGGAGTAGTATCTTCGTGGTATATCGTATCTTTTGTGTTTATTTACATTGGTATGTTTCTATGTATGATATGTTCATATCTTCTCATGCCATGTCATGTTGCATCATGTTTTTTATATGTTTTTGCTTTGAGGTGCCATTGCTTTGACAGCCCAGTCTTTGTTTGAAGCATCGTATATTTGTTATACCTAACGCTTACCGATATGTTTTGTTCATCTTTTTGTTGTTTTGTGCCCTCTGTGGTGTGTTCTGTCGTTTCCTCTCCTTGGAAAGTCGTTCTTGCAACATCGTGTCGCATGTGTGTATTTTATCTTGTTAGTTTACCATTGTTACTCTTTCCTCCCTTGCTTGCTATCTTCGTTTTATTCCCTTATTTTTTCTGGTTACATCATCTGGATTCTCTTTTGCAATCGTTTATAGAATGCTGTACAAGCTTGAGCAATATAAAAAATTTGCAGCCATAGACACATGGGCCTTTCTGTGAGTGCCCACGTGATAACAACCATTTTAAATTCACAACACATGTTGTTCTTATATCCCTTGCATTCCTTGCAAGTTTATTTCTTTTAATTTTGTTATTGAATTGTTTTTACTGTTTTTGCCTCTATGTATCACATTTTTTTTTTCGAGATATCTTTTACTGTTGTTTTGCTTAGTTGTTTCTTTTGTCCACCATAGTAGCATTACATTACCCACATAGTGTAGTAATGTTTTATCCTGAATATTTTTGCCTTTTCTTGTTTGTCTCCTTTGATCTTCGCCTTGAAATTTGTTTATAGCATTAGATTTTCTTGATTTTCCTTCACTATAATTCTTTGTTCTTATTCCGTATTTGTTCATGTGTGTAGTTTCGTGATGGTACGTTGTTCCATTTGATTGTCAGTTTTTTTTTCACTTTGCAGTACTTTAAGCCTGGCTTTGTTTATGTCTTGCCTTGCCTTTTAATTTTATGTTTATGTCTTGCCTTGTCTTGGCTTTGTTCATGACGTGTTGCCTTATGCTATCTTGTCTTGTTTGTCTCATGTTTTGTCCTGTTCTTTTATATACTTTATTGTCCTGACTCGTTTTGTCTTGTTCCGTTTTGTGCTGTCTTGTCTCGTTTTGTGCTGTCTTGTCCCGTTTTGTGCTGTCTTGTCCTGTTTTGTGCTGTCTTGTCCTGTTTTGTGATGTCTTGTCCCATTTTGTGCTGTCTTGTCCTGTTTTGTGCTGTCTTGTCCTGTTTTGTGCTGTCTTGTCCCGTTTTATGCTGTCCCGTTTTATGCTGTCCCGTTTTATGCTGTCCCGTTTTATGCTGTCCCGTTTTGTGCTGTTTCATTTTGTAGTGTGCCACTCGTAGTTGTCTCATTTTGTCATCGTTTTGTGAGCCTCATTTTGTTTTTCTTGTTGAATGTTGTTTTGCCTCTTCTGTCTTGTGTTTTTTGTCTTTTCCAGTCTTGTCACACTTTCTATTATTTGATTTTATCCTGCCCTCTATCTGTTTATCTTGTTTGGTATTTTTATTTGGCCTTGCATATTGCTTGTGCCATTGTCTTGTATTGTCTCATTTTAACCTATCTCATTTTGTCTTAATTTTGTTTACCATGCCTTATCTTGTCAAGTTTTGTCTTGTTTTGTATTGTTTATATTGTCTTATTTTGTTTTGCATTCCTGTGGTGAATTGCTTGACTCCCTGTCTTGTCTTGTCTTGTCTTGTCTTGTCTTGTCTTGTCTTGTCTTGTCTTGTCTTGTCTGTCTTGTCTTGTCTTGTCTTGTCTTGTCTTGTCTTGTCTTGTCTTGTCTTGTCTGTCTTGTCTTTTTGTGGTTTATCTTGAAGTATCTTATTTTTATTTTAGTATTTTTGTTGTATTTTTGTACTTCAAGATGTGACATCTGAAAGTAGCTAGTTATATCAAAAGAAAAAAAATATTTTTGCTCTGTTTTGAATATGGTGTCAAAGGAAGTAGGTTATGGTCCATAATAGTGAATGCATCCTGGTAAGATATAACTTAACATCTCATTCATTCCTTCTTGATCATCTGTAATAAGACGTAAATGACATGCAATCATTGTATGATTATCCATTCTAAAAGCACAAGTATGAATAAATATCGTCCAGTTCAGTTCAATTGTGTCAATAAAATACCTCTACACAATAATTTAGATATCTAAAACAATCAATTTTATTAAACTATTGGTAGACTAAAAGCTGAGAAGGTGATGCTAGGTTGAACAATGAATTGTTGATATTAATGACAATATAGCCTTTAAGAATTAATGACAAACTGTTTAATTGCTTATTAGTACTCATGAGTTTTCTTCATTATCATATCCTCAGCTCCACAACAGCAATCCAAATTGTAATACAAAATTATATAGCTTACCAGAGCATACAAGACAGGGAGGCTAACTGGGGCTGTGTCCATTAAGACTGATACTCAAGCGAATACTCAAGCAAGTGTTTTGAAACAAAGAAAATAGGTCAGCCCCCCCCCCCAGTTCTGGCCACTAGTATGACAAATATTCTTTTTTTTGTGACTGTATGATAGTGAGTTAGTATTTGTGATAATTTGCCTTCTCAGCTTCTATCTATTTATCCTACTTATAACTTAAATCCTGAGTGTATATTTAACTTAAATTTCCATTTAGCGAAGAACTTAAAATTTATATCAAATTTAAATGTTGAATAAATCACATCTTGATTAAATTATTTTCTGTATTTTACATTAAATGTTTTGTTATACTATCATGATGAAAATAATGTGTTATTTATAAAGATTTCTCTGACTGGCAAAAAATACTAAATAGAAATTAAGTTGATTTAACAGTACTTGATTACAACTGAATCTGTCTCTTTCATCATACAGTGATAATTTGTAAACAAGTAATATCAAAAGTATTGGTATCCTAAAGATTAAAAATATATTTCTATTTTAAAGGTTATCAATGTATTTGTAGACCACAAAAAATAAATTGAGGATTAATAGAAATGTGTTTAGATCCAAGAAGAGCAATGCTTATGATGATTTACTAAATACTTGCTTTTGACATTATTTATAAATGATACCGCAATAAAAACATAAATTTTTAAAAACATTTAGATGTGCAACCAGTTAAGGTATGGTCAGAGTGGTGAGTGATTTCACGACACTAAATTGGAGGTATATACTGACAACACACAATTATGTCAGAAGCTATTTACCACATAGATATGTCAGCACTCAGCAAGTCTTCTCTTGCTATTGTTCGACATGCAAGCCTTATCAATAACGATTGAACCACCAAGTGTCCATTGAAAAAATGAGAATTTTAATAACCCTTCAATATCAGCAGGAGGCTAGAGTTCTAGCAATGACAATAAAACAATGGATTTTTTCAGGACTCCATTGAAAAATAAAACAAACACCTAAAATATCTAGGGTAAAAGCTATGATGCAAAATCTTTCCACTTTTCAAAAATAAGAGTTTTATACTGCATAGAGTCTACAAACAGATGCCCATCTAAGTGGTCCATCTCATGTTGAAAAACTCGTGCCATCCAGCCAGCAATATTAAATTTCAATTTCTCTCCAGTTGTGCTTTGTCCTGAGATTTGAACTTCCTTTACCCTTGGAACAATTGCTGAATATCCTTCCATACTCAAGCACCCTTCCTTGAATGCTACTGTAGTAGGGTCAATAATTTTTACTTCAGGGTTAACCACAACCTTTAATGGGAATAATTGCATTTGCATTTTTTGTACTCCATTTGCTCCAAACTTCTTGAGGTTCTGCTTGAGATGATGTCCATTAAACTCCACTGCAATAACTCTCAAACTGGCACCAACTTGAGGTGCAGCGATCCCAACTCCTTTTTTGTCTCTCATAGTTTTAACCATCAGCTCAACAAGTTGATTGAATTCTTGGCTCAGCATATAGTCAAACTGTACTGGCTTTGATTTCTGTCTTAGTATTGGATCTCCAATTTGACAAACTTTATAATTCTTTAAGCCAGTAATTGCTTTCAGCCATGATGGCACTGCTGTTGATTGTGAACGTTTGAAAGCTTTGACAGGGCATACTTTGAGTGTCTTGATCAACAAACTTGAAGCCATGCTTTCTACCATCAATGTGACTTCAAGCAAAGGCAAAAAGAGCTAAAACAAAAAAATATGTTTACGCATGGTTTAAATAATGTGATATAATGCTAGCTTTTGGCTTTCAGAAAGAGACATGAGGATATCAAACTGTGTTATATTTGGCATGAAAAAAGTATCTACAAAGAATAAAAGGCAAAAGCTGTATTCGATTTGCAATGTCAAAGAAATAAGTATATATTGCAGAAAATTTTGTAAATTGGGTATGAAAAGTGCAGGAAAACGTACCAGTTGATGATACTTAGTTAAAGCATATGCGATTAGGAACCATGGACTAGCATATTGGAGTTTGGAAGGTCTTAAAAACTTTCAAGAGCTAAACATGCAAATTATATTAGCATGATTATTTTGTATCAATTTATGTACATTTTTTGAATTTGTGCGAAATTTGAATGCCAATGGTTTTTCTGTCTGAGGGGACACTCCAAAAATGTTATTCTCCTACAAATTAAGAGTTACTTTGATATGTTTTCCTAGCAAAGTAAGCTAGTCTGTGGAAAGGCGAGCTGATTTGCATTGCCCTGGTCAGCCTTAAACCTAGTGATTCTCTAAGATGATGCTCTAAAAGATGCGAAGCCCCTCTGCAACATGTTCCTCTTCGGTTTCTCCGTCAGGTGCGAGAAAATATCAACTTAGAGGTAAAAAAATTGAAAAAATTGTTAAATGCTGTTTTCATTTATTTTTCTACCTTTTCAGGGAATCTCATACAAAAATATTCCCAATTATTCTATTCTTTTTCCCAACAATTCCATTTCAACTTTCCAGTACAAAATTTAATGCGGAGTCCAAAAAACAAAAAACAGCTCCCTATAGCTTTTTCAAATTTTGAGATAACATCGATTTTCTCCGATACGGTCAGAAAACGGGCCTGTGGTGCTGTCCTGACTTCCGCAGCGTAACAGCTGTGGTCTGACTGAGTTGAATTGATATGATGATTCAGACGATTCGCTCTGACGATTCGCATTGTGAAATGGTGTTTGGTTGCTCATCAATAACTTTGTTCACACACTTATTTAGATTGATTAAAGTTAATTTTCGGTTGTTTTAGACATGTACCTAGAGGTTTTTACAGTTCTTAAGAGAAAATATATACTTCGTCTTGTTTAAACTGGAAATTGAAAAGTCACTACTTTTTGCTGAATTTAGGCCAAATCCTCGAGTTGACCGAAATTTGCTCAAAAATAACTCCTCAAAAAAGAAACCAATATCAAAATATCAAATATTGTTCATAGCAAAGACATAAATAAAGTGGTTTTTCTTGTTATTAAGGCCATGTCATGTATTTCACATGTAAAAAAGACCCGATGAATTTCAGACAATCTGGTTGAAATGAGTAAACATTTGCTCACCTACAGCTCTGCCAAATTCCATTAAATATAATGAAATATGTGATTTTTGATTAGTTAAAGGATTGTTTACTAGGTTTTTCCAGTTTAGAATTCTAGAAATGACAAGGCAGTGATATAAGAGCTTCCCTTGCTCCGTGTACCTTAACGACAGCAGCTCTATCCAACCCACATCTTGACACAAAGTTGCTCAAAAATAGCTCACTGTAATCCCAAAAATGTACAAAAGTTTCGATTTATATAAACAGTAGACTTATGCCACTGAAGGTTTTTCAGCTTCTACAAGCAAGAGAACACCAAACTTTCAAAAAGTCAAGCCTAATTTAGTTTGTCTTGCACTACCACCAGAGAATCGCAAAGTCATTAACAGTAAAACTTGCTCAAAAATAACTCTGCGTAGACACCGAAAAGGGCCAAAATTTTCAATCTTACAACAAAAACGAGAGAGTATGTCGAGGTTTTTTAAAAATTCTCCTTTGAAAGTTGCTCAAAAATAACTCTGCGTAGACACCGAAAAGGGCCAAAATTTTCAATCTTACAACAAAGATTGAAATCTTACAAATTTTCAATCTTTACAGTCATACATTTTTTTCTGAACAGCATAACTGCAGAGACTGGCCTTGAAAGTAAAGGGGAGGAGATAGAAAACAGCGACTTTTTACCAACTCAATTTTTCACAGCTTTGCGAGGGCGAAACAAAAATAGCACAACTCTTTGTAGAGCACTACTGCAAGCCCGTACTAGTTTCAATGGTGACCTTTTACTGATACCATACCATCAAGATAACCACTGGAGCATAATTGGTGTATTTTTTAAAAAAAGCACCATCGTGCATTGTGACTCATGCGCATCAAGAGATGCAGATGAAACAGCTTTTAGGTACTCATTAGAGTATTTGTCAAGAGCCTCGATATATTTGAACCAACCTGTCAACATCAAACGTTTCAAACTTATAAGTCTAAGTGAAGCAGGGCTGCAGCAGCAAAATGATAGTACAAGCTGTGGTCTTTTCACATGCGTAAACGCTTATTCGTTGCAACGTCTGAAGGACTTTTTCGTGCCGGAAGACGATATTACTTCTCTTAGATATTGGGTTGCAAATCAAGCTATAGATGGTGACAGAATCAAAGGAAAGCATACATTTAAATGCAGCGACAACACACTGTGGGAAAGCATACCCTATAAGGAAGATAGGTTGCAAAGAATAATCAAAATACCTGTAGAGCGGCACGAAGGCCCTTTTGCCGCTTTGGCAAGGTTTCTGACTTCCATTTGATTACTCTCCTACCTAGCCCTATTAAGCATACAAAGGTAAGGCAAATGTAAAGTTTTTACCGCTTTATCGAACAAACAGGCATATTCTGTTCTTGTAACGTATTGGTACGGATCCCCAACACCGTTTATACAATTTTGCTCATGAAGTAACTCGATAGAGGTAGACGTTGAACTGATTTAAAATTGTTGGTGTTCAATTGTATAGACTATTTTTATAAATTCTTTGGAAACTTCTTCATATCTTGCAAAAATAAGTACCATATAGATCTTGTAAACACTGCCATTACGTCGTGCAAAATATATCCGTGTATTCAGAACAAAATATATCCGCGTATTCAAAATATATTGCCTTTGTAAGTATCAGTAAGAAGATTACGCTGACAAATATTTTGTTTTAAAGATGTATGTGCAATGTAATTAAACAATGTACTTTTTGCCTTTCTCTCTATAAAAATTAAAAGACTACCTTACTACAAATACTTACTCAAACCATTATGGTCACTAACCCAGCGGATCTAAAATATGGGCCCTTTTCGGTGTCTACGCAGAGTTATTTTTAAGCAACTTTCAAAGGAGAATTTTAAAAAAACCTCGACATACTTTCTCGTTTTTGTTGTAAGATTGAAAATTTTGGCCCTTTTCGGTGTCTACGCAGAGTTATTTTTGAGCAACTTTCAAAGGAGAATTTTTCAAAAACCTCGACATACTCTCTCGTTTTTGTTGTAAGATTGAAAATTTTGGCCCTTTTCGGTGTCTACGCAGAGTTATTTTTGAGCAACTTTCAAAGGAGAATTTTTCAAAAACCTCGACATACTCTCTCGTTTTTGTTGTAAGATTGAAAATTTTGGCCCTTTTCGGTGTCTACGCAGAGTTATTTTTGAGCAACTTTCAAAGGAGAATTTTTCAAAAACCTCGACATACTTTCTCGTTTTTGTTGTAAGATTGAAAATTTTGGCCCTTTTCGGTGTCTACGCAGAGTTATTTTTGAGCAACTTTCAAAGGAGAATTTTTCAAAAACCTCGACATACTTTCTCGTTTTTGTTGTAAGATTGAAAATTTTGGCCCTTTTCGGTGTCTACGCAGAGTTATTTTTGAGCAACTTTCAAAGGAGAATTTTTCAAAAACCTCGACATACTCTCTCGTTTTTGTTGTAAGATTGAAAATTTTGGCCCTTTTCGGTGTCTACGCAGAGTTATTTTTGAGCAACTTTCATAGGAGAATTTTTCAAAAACCTCGACATACTCTCTCGTTTTTGTTGTAAGATTGAAAATTTTGGCCCTTTTCGGTGTCTACGCAGAGTTATTTTTGAGCAAGTTTTACTGTTAATGACTTTGCGATTCTCTGGTGGTAGTGCAAGACAAACTAAATTAGGCTTGACTTTTTGAAAGTTTGGTGTTCTCTTGCTTGTAGAAGCTGAAAAACCTTCAGTGGCATAAGTCTACTGTTTATATAAATCGAAACTTTTGTACATTTTTGGGATTACAGTGAGCTATTTTTGAGCAACTTTGTGTCAACATGTGGGTTGGATAGAGCTGCTGTCGTTAAGGTACACGGAGCAAGGGAAGCTCTTATATCACTGCCTTGTCATTTCTAGAATTCTAAACTGGAAAAACCTAGTAAACAATCCTTTAACTAATCAAAAATCACATATTTCATTATATTTAATGGAATTTGGCAGAGCTGTAGGTGAGCAAATGTTTACTCATTTCAACCAGATTGTCTGAAATTCATCGGGTCTTTTTTACATGTGAAATACATGACATGGCCTTAATAACAAGAAAAACCACTTTATTTATGTCTTTGCTATGAACAATATTTGATATTTTGATATTGGTTTCTTTTTTGAGGAGTTATTTTTGAGCAAATTTCGGTCAACTCGAGGATTTGGCCTAAATTCAGCAAAAAGTAGTGACTTTTCAATTTCCAGTTTAAACAAGACGAAGTATATATTTTCTCTTAAGAACTGTAAAAACCTCTAGGTACATGTCTAAAACAACCGAAAATTAACTTTAATCAATCTAAATAAGTGTGTGAACAAAGTTATTGATGAGCAACCAAACACCATTTCACAATGCGAATCGTCAGAGCGAATCGTCTGAATCATCATATCAATTCAACTCAGTCTGTGGTCTGTGGAGAGTTTTGTCCATGTCATGTCAGGTTCACAAACTACAGCTCCTTGAATCTGTTGTTGAGCCATCCTTGCACCCTGGAAAAACCACACACAAAAACATGCCCAACTCATGCTCATCACTCGGGAGTACAAGTATATACTCAGGGCTTTCAAAAATTTTCTTGGGAGTACAGTGCAGCTGCCATGGAATTTAAATTGGTACGATTTTGCAATAGGCCTCTAGCTTAAAATTTGCAAGCGGCAAACATAGTCAGCCATTTTATGTACATTTAAATGCAAAAGATAAGGAGAAAACAGAAAGAACTTACTTTTATAAATTTTGAGGCTCTGTGATCCTCAGATCATACGACATAACAGATACCCAAATTCGACAACGATTCCGCCATATTACTTACAACATGTTCAAGCAGTACCCTCGGTTTCAATCTTGTGATCTGGTTGCTGCTGTTGTGACAAAGCGGAAGAAATCTGAACCCAAAAAATCCCGGCAAGCACAGATTTCCTTCTTGTCACTGATTCACAAAAGAGCCTTCAGGAGAGAAAATGTTCCGGAAAATCCGACTGTGTAGCCTGAGTTATGAAATGTGTACTGGAATTTCAAAACTAACCATCGCGACAGAAAGGTTCCCAGTGCTGAAGCGGTCGTACGCAGCCATCAGCAATGTTTTAGAAAGAACCATCGTGAGAAATAATGGTATACAGAGAAAGTTCCCAGGGCTAACTGGCCCTTTTGCCAAAAGGCATCTTTCATATAAAGCACCATCTTCAAGCAAGCTTGTAGCATGTCATGAAAATAGCCAAGGGTTAAATCTGATGTTTTCAAATGGCCAGGCTGCGCAACTGTAAGATGATTGATATCAACACTTTACACTGTCATAAGCCCTCTAACCCTAACCCTAACCCTAACCCTGGTTCTGTCACTATGGTTGTTTATACTTTGGCTCATACAAATGTCTAGAGAAGAAATCAGTCTTACATCATATCATATTTGCGTCATATTTAGAACACTCACATCATATCCTATTCACTTTTGCTTTTCTTATACTTAACAACGCATAATTAAAACCCCCTATTTGAAAATACAACCAAGTTCATAATGCAACAAGCCTAATTCCAATGTGTCACCTCCAGTTTTCCTCATCGCAACAGGCCAGGTTCAAATTAAAAACTGTAACAAATCAATCAAGCTTACAGAAATGTTAAAACCTGGTTTCCACTATGAGTTAATGTGAGATAATTCTGAGTTAAAATCAAAAATTAACTTATGGTCTAAATTCAAGTTAACTCTAGATAGTGTGAAATAGCATGAGATAATGTGAGCTAACTAAGAATTAACCCATGTACCGATTCGTTTTCCACTTGAGGTAGAATCAAGTATTAAGATACCAGAAATCAAAGAGTCTTGCAGCTATGGCAGGTGTCTTAAAAGAACAACTTATTTTACTTCTGCTTTTGAGAATACATAGAAGGAAAAGATTTTTTGCTAGAAATGCCCTTCACAATCTGCTAAGGTTTTTGGTACTGAAAATCTTCCAAAAAAAGATATGCATTTGGTGAATGCAACCACCTGGAACAGGAACTTCGAACTGCATTAATAGCTATGATAGTAGATGTTCACATGGTATTTTTGTAAGAGGAATTAAACTACGAAAGCCTGATATGAAGTGCCAACATTGTAACAGCAAATCTCACTGGCATTGGGATTAACATGGAACAACTACTGGGAAGGTCGAAATAAAGCAATTTAATCAATTTAATTCTCGGCTAATAATCAAGCCTTTTCCCCCCTGAATTCAACTGCTTTAGGAACTTACCGAAACTTTATAGAGGCTTTAGGGTTAGGCTCCCAAACAAAACATTGTTCAAGAATAGATTGTCAACCTAAACAGCTTGTTTCTCTAGTATATTGGAGTTTGTTCTTTTAGTTTCTGTTGCTTTTGCTAAAATAAGCGTTGTAGAAACATAAGTAAGCATTATCACTGGGTTTCCGTAACCTCATCTAAGACAACAGCTATTGCAGTGATGAACGACATGACCGAACACTTAGGCCAATGCAACGAAGATGACAATGCCCGCATGGATGGATAAGCTTGCCTCGTTTTAGGGATCTAGTCGTTTCTGCAAAGTTACAAATCGTTTCATGTTGTTTCCTTATTGTTTCTTCTCATTTGTATTCGTTTGTTGTTGTTTCCTGTTGTTTCCTGTTATAGTAAACACGCAAATACGTTGTGTAAGAACCTTTGTAAAAATGGTTGCACATTCCCCTCCCAGGCATCAGCTTCTTTAACTCATGAGCTTGGAATCAAAAAATTTTTATTCCAAGCTCATGAGATAACGTGAGTTAACAGGATTTAATTTTCATGAGATAATTTTTAATGAGCGTTTTCCACTATGAGATTATTTTTAAACCATGTCAGATAGCAAAATTATCTCACATTAACTCACGTTAACTCATAGTGGAAACCAAGCTTAAAACAAACTTAGGCCATAGTTTGATTTTCTACAGACAGTAGACCCCAGTCACAGTCACACCAATTGTCGCTAGTTAAGATCTGTCACAGTAGCTAGTGTTTTACTATAAACAGAGTTAAACTGGATAGTTCTTCACATTCAATTCAATTTTATTTGTATACTACAGAAGATGAGTACTCTATTAAAACTGTACTATACGTGATCCAAGAAAAGTATAGACTTATCTAGGTTGGGCCATTAACAAAAGGTATAATTAGAAAATGAAAGCATAACTGTAATTGCAATAACAGAAACAAGATGGAACAAGATATTATAGCATGTGGATCACATTTCATTTTTCTCTCATTTCATAACTCTAATATTTTGACAGCATTTGTTCTTCAAGTGATAAGGTATAATTTTTTCTTTTTTGTATCTTTTATAGGCTTTGGGAGATTATTCCATAGTTGTGGTCTCTTATTTCGTAGTATTAAATCGAACCCCAATACTTATTCGGTTTACTTTTCTGAATATCATTTATTTACCAGGTTTCCTATTCATGTCTACAGCTATTTGTTTTAATACAGTTGGTTACATAGGGCTTGTGGCACATTGTTCACATTGAGTCTAAATCTTATGTGACTGTAAACAGTAGTTTGAGCTTAAGCAGAGTTTTCTTGGCTATTGTGGAGCCTCTTTGGGTACTTTAAAGAAGAAGCCCTCAATCTATAAGGTCACTGTGAGCTTCTCTTCAGAAATACTTCAGAATAAATCAAGAGCATTTGGAGATAATGGTTAAAGTGCTTCCCCGCATCCTTGATTTCAATATAACTCAAACAACAGCAAAAGCATGCAGTTTGCATATACAAAAGATTTTGTGCCCCCAATTTCACCATGGTATTGAGCAGCTTCCATCTAAAAGTATAATATTGTGCTTTGGATCGAATATGTCATTCTCTACCTCTTTGGTGTTATTCTAAATACAAATCTATCTTCATTGTAGTCATTATTTCTGGCTAAGGGATCACTGTACCTGCCAAGAATGTTATCACCCTCAAACATTTCAGAAGCTTGTTGATACATATCAGGTATAATTTCATATGTAAAAGTTGTTTTAAAATTAATTTTTATAAATCAGGATATTTTATTTGTAATTAAGTCTGATTGTTCTCTTTATTAGGTTCTTTATTAGGCATATTTGACTGCAATATACTGAAGTTTTGAGGACATTTTAGATTCCGTTGGACATTAGACCAAAGTCAGTAACCAGCAGGGAGGATTCATTGACAGTTGAATGTAAGTTTTTTGTAGTATATCAAGTTTTCTATTTATTTCAAAGAAAATTTTCATCACCAGGTAGTAAGCAAACAGTGCAAACTTTTACCGCTCCAAATTTCTGTTGCTACTGATATGATTGAATTTTTTTAATCAAGATGAGGCAAGGTTGCTATGGAATCAAATCTCAGTATTTCTCTACTTGTTAGCTTGATGCAAAAAGACATTTGGTGTTATGCTTTTTTTGTTTCAGCAAATTCTCCCAAAACTAAACAGGCAGAGAACCACATAAATAATTTAATCCATCTGCAATGCTGAGTTTTTTATTTTGGCATTTCTTTCAGGGCCTGATGGTCACAAAAGTACATTCACTAGTAGTTGGCTCAACAAGAACAAATATGGTCAATCATATCATTGTTTTGATGTCAAGTAGGTGTTTTAGTTTTCAATTGGCCATAGACTGTCCAAACAGATTGACACTTTGAGAATTAGTGAACTAGGAATTATTCTAACCTTGTCAATATTTTAGCTGAAAAGATTCATTCTTTTTGTGTTCAAAATACTTAATAAAAAGTAACTTGAAGTAACTTGTTTCTTTTATAGAGAAATAGAAAAGCATCTATGGAATAAAGAAAGATTTAGAGGTATTGAAGATTCTTTGTTTGATGAGGTAAAAATTTTCAAGCTTTGAAATGTTTTAAGATCTTAAAAATTTTAATAATTTAAAGTTTCCTTCAATTTTCTACCATAACTATTATATGGATATCTGCTGTTTAATATCATAGTCTCAAACATATCCTTCCACAGTGTGCTCAAGCTCTGACAAGGGAAAATGTAAGGGGGCAAGGAGAGATCATAGGAGTACTGAGAAATACTTAATACACTGTCAGTTTAAATGAAACCGGTGATTTTCCAGTATTTCAAATAGTGCATTCTTTGTTAATTTTCTGAAAGGCCAACCTGTTGGAGTTGTGCTCTTCAAAGGAAAAAGGAAGTCACAACAGTGTTATCAGATATTCTTAGCTTTAGATCTATGTGTTTTCTTTATGGCAAACAAAAACATGGAAGAATCTATATTATATAAATGCTTAATATTGGTACTTGCGACTTTAATAATTTTTCAATTGGATACCCAGATATATTTATATGGTTTTATGATACAACTTTAAATCATTTTTCAGGTCATTAAATCTGATGAAAAGTTGTTGGAATATCTTGAAAAAATTGTATGTTGTTTTTCTTGCTGTTGTACTGAAAATATTTGGTTTATCCAGTCAAATTATACACTAAACAAATTTTGCAGATTTAGATTGCATTGGTGTTTCCTTGCCACCAAATCAATGAAAGAAGGCTTGTGTAGGCATCCTTAGACAAAACTGCAACAAAACGTCACAATCAACCTTCTATAGAACAACAAGTGCTTGTCAATTTGTTCCTATGTTGTGCCATACCTTGCTGATGAGAAAATTGTATATTACTACCTAGCTTGATTTTCCTCAACAGAAAATAAAACTAGTGATAACCATTTCCATGTTCCTAAAAGTTAATCTCAATGTTAGACACCCCACTTTCATCAAAATGAATATTAAGATGAAACATAATATGTTAAATTTATGTAAAAACAGCCTTGAAGAAACAGCTTAACTGCTTTTTACAGCAGTGTTTTAGAAATTTAATGACTACTTATATTTGTATACTGTCTACTAGAAACTCTCTTGTGCAATAGGTTAAGTATGGGATAGCATTTATTGATGGCATTGAAGAACCATACAAAGAGGTATGTTGGGAATTTTCTCAATAATTAAACTTTGACAGAAAGTGAAAATACTATTTTGTTTGTTGGGACTTGTCCAGAGTCCAGGAATATTACAGTTCCAGAACTTTTGTGGAACAGAAGTGTAAAGACCAACCAAACTATAGATGGTTTTACTTGAATTCCCATTCCAAGAAACATTTATTCAAATGATACATAAAAGCAAATATGGTAAAGTTTCATCCGGAGGAAGGTTAAGGTGTTCTCTGAACTCACGTTTTACACTAATCAAAAGAAACATGCTAATCAGTTCCGTTTGATACTAGACTTTTTATTTTGTTGTTGATCAGTATTGCCATTTTTTAATCAGATAGATGCTTTAAAAATTTGACTATTATTCCTCTGCTTCAGAGCCTTGAAAAAATTGCCAACCGAATAGGACACATCCAATTAACCCATTATGGGGATATGTGGACATTTGTTAGTGGTGGATTTGAATTTGCTGACACAGCTTACTTGTCCATCAAACTGGAAGGTCATAATGATGGAACATACTTTTACGAATCGCCAGGGTGAGTAGCTGTGCACCTTATTTAGTGCTTGGTCAATTCAAGTTATTTTAGAATGTACAGTTTGGTCTAGTAAAGAAGTGAACTCAGTTTGATTAATATACGAACTACCATTTCTTTAAAGCTTCTTGTTTAATCAGTTCTTTCGCTAGATGAAACTGGCAGTTTATTACAAAGCCGTTTAATCTGCACATCTTTGTACACTTACCTAATGTTTTGGTATCGATAATCACCAAATATTTTTAAACTGAGATACGCATTGGACATAAAAAGGTTTTCTTATGCATGCAGACCAACGTCTGCTATCCTGTACTATAAAACTATTTTGATTCTTTCTAAACCTCAACCTTATTCTGAAATTTTTTTAACCTTTAAATCAAAATCTTCAACCATAATGAGTTCTGCTATACCAATCATTTCAAATAAGGTATTTTTGCTTTATTTGTAGCTGTCAATATCTTTAATATTCTTTTATTAACATAGATTACAAACTCTTCACTGTGATTTTCATACTGGAGAAGGTGGAGAAAATGTGTTTGTTGACGGCTTTTATGTCGCAGAAAAACTGAAAGAGACTGACCCTGAGGCTTATACATTTTTAGCCACAAAGAAGATACCTTCAGTATATTATGTAAGCTTTGCAAATCACTGTGTATTTGACTTCATTGCACTTTTATTTATCATTTTGCACTATTGGTGCCTAATGTTTCAGCTTTACCCTGTTAACTTCGTATATTTTTTAGAAATTTTTCTTTTTGGAAAAGATTCGCCGAAGAAAACTCCGGTATCCTGCCTACCCCATGCTTATCTGTAGAGTCGGTACTCTTAAATATGTTTTTACCCAATAACCCAGTAACTTTACAATAAATATGCGCACAGAAAATGTCGTATTTATCAACATCCCAGAAATTTTCAGTGTAATATAACTTTTCCCACACATACCTTGCTTCAAAATCGTCCCAAAATCTTTTCCACTGAACTCCAAGTAACGATTCACTTCTTCAATTTTTCAATGATTTGTCAAGGGTTGTTTTGGAAGCCAAATCCTAAGAAGATAAAATAATATTGTTTGATTAAAATTTAAAAGTCGGCATTCTTGCTAATTTACCCATTTTCTAAGTTGCAGCAGTACATAATTTTGAAGTGATCTGATTTTTCTCATTTCAGGAGAAGGATGCCTTCCTATTTAAAGCCTATGACACAGTGTTAAAGCTGGATGACTTTGATAACGAGATTTATCAAATAAGGTTGATTTCTCCTATATCGATTTCTTGACCTACAAAACCTTTTGGCTTAATTTATGCTGTGAAGATAATGGGTCCTCTTCTGCCTTCAAGACCTTAGATCGATTTGCTGGCAAATTATAAGATGATTTCGTTATCAATACCATTAATGCGTGCATTGGAAGAATTAATTTTATTTTTCGTGTTCGACGAGATACTGCTTCCGTTATTATTATACTACAATACCTGGACAAATTACTTGGAACCCCTGGCAGTTTGCGCTGTATGCTACTACTTTCACTTCCTCCCCCTAAAACTATTTTGATAATCTATGTAGAAATCAAAGTTACAACAAAAAACGTACTCGTCAATCGCCTTTCTTGAACATTATTCCAAGGGGGAGAGGGGAAGAGTGGGTGGCTGAATTTGCCTTTCAACATTGACAGGAGTGCTCAAAGACTTTGACAGGCATTCCAGCTTCTATTTTCTTATAATCAATGCAAATAGATTCATCTTCTTAGAATTTTATTCTTTTTTTAAAGAAAACTGATGATTTTGTTTCTTTGAATTAATTTTTTTTGTAATATTTTCCAGATTCAACCCAAACGACCGTGATGTACTTAGCTGCCTCTCTTTTGAAGAAGTTGAGAAATTCTACAAGGCTTCTCACAGCCTGACGAGGCTTATACGTGACCCGAGCAATGAATTAGTCGTTAAGCCAAGGCCAGGAAGAGCCGCCATTTTTGACAACTGGAGGTATGGTTCTGAAGAAAAATTGTTCAATTATTTTTAATATTTAATGGAAACTAGCATCATTCTTGTTTCACCATTCAATTCCTTAGTCAGGCACCCAAACTCTAGAAATCAGTGCTGCTGATTGATGTACTGTTGTCATTACCTCTAATGAATGATTTCTACCGTAAAATCAATTATTTAGCTATCTAGTGGTTAAATTTTTTCTAATTCGGAAAGATTGTACCCATCGTAGCCTTTCCTTTTTATGACAATATGATAAGAAAAGAGTGTGTTTCATGTTGTTAATATCTCGGCGTTATCAAATTATAAATGCAAGACTCTAGTTGCTCACATCTGATTTGTTTGCTTGCAGAGTTTTTCATGCGAGGAATTCGTACACCGGACAGAGATCCATGTCCGGCTTCTACATGCAGCGTCACACTTTCCTAAGCAAGATCCATGCATTAAGGGAAAAGCTCTTTAAAGCCAGCTAAACAAAGTTTTAGAAACTTTGCTAGATTTTAATATATATTTTTCTAAATTGAAAGCTGTAGTATTTTAGTTAAACTATGGGGAGTAGCTAATTTTGAATTATCCGACGACTACCTGCTTGCATAAAAGTATGAGTTTATCTTGAAGTCGCGTATTTTGTAATTGTCTTCTTAGGTAATAGTTTGACAATATAGCAAAGTTTATTGAGCCCACTGCGCTGATTCATTTATATAGATGATATATGGACTTTCTAGTGAAAATAATGCCTGCAGTAAACATCGACTTTATCTTTATCTTCATACGGCAGTTTCTTTTTTCGTTGATTGTTTTTATATTCAAATAAACAAATTTTTACCGCAGAATAACCATCAAATTTTAATACTATTAACATGTCGTTATATATTTAACAGAATCCGTTCAATAATTAAGAGAGCAGCTAGTTTTGCCTTTTAATCAATTTTTATGTGAGTACAGCCGGAGCACAACCATCCTAATTTTGTTTACTCGGTAATGTTTGATGTTTGCCAATTTGTAGAAAATTTACATAAATGTTAGCTAGGATTTGTTATTGTGTAATTTTTAACTAAGTTTATTGAATTGTTGTCATTTAGATTAATAATAATTGTGAATTACAAGATTTAGTAATGTGTAAGTCCATCATTTGTGTTTTAAGCTCCATGACACTAGTGTTAGAAGTAACTTCCGAAATTAAAGACTTTTATGATGCTTGCAATGGTTCTTATAGAAAAGCTTTGTTTCTCTTCTTAATGTTCATAATTTTCCAGTTTACACGTTTTCCAGCTAGAATTGCCAACGACTCCTCTTTCTTCCCGAAAAAGTAGAGTTTGTACCAATCTTGAGTGGTTTATATTTCAATATTATCTGGCGAAAGTGAATAAGCAGAAGATAGAAGTATTTTTAGCTATGAAATGGTTATAAATTCATCTCAAATGTGGCTTTCCAGCCAAAATAGTTTAACAGCAAGGGGCCTTCACATGGCCCCGATAAAAACTCGAATACCCTCATTTCCATTACAATGTGATCACGAGATTGTTGATTTTATGTCATATTCCTTCTCCTGCCGCGTTTTACGGCTGAACATGTAGCAGTAAAGTTTGAGTACATTTCAATAAAGGAGAAGCGATGAGAAATTTTGAGAAGAGGTGTTTTCTTGATGAAGAAGTACGAAACGTTTCAAAATAAAATTCAGATATTAGAATTACAGCCTTCTTTGAACTGCGAAATCTCGGAACAATTCAACGTATGGAAAGATGCCGTTCAAACTTTTATAATTGACAGCTACGTTGAAAGTAGCAAACTGCTCCACCTTTATCAGTTTGAACTGATTTTGTGAATTAGATAGAGTTCAATTTATGAAATTGTTGCTTTTACCTGGTTATGTGATGCAAAAGCTGCTTCCATAAAATTATTTGCATTGATGGTATTACCTGACTGCTCGCTACAGTTAATTTGCTCAAAACACGACTGGTGACGTATGACACGGACGTAACAAGAATAATCTCGTGGCAATCTTCTTGACCTAATGCGAGCATACTGAGAACAGAACTTTGAGTAAAGAGGCTTGAGGGAATCGAAGCAATGAACAAATTGGAGACGTTTGGGTTCGTCATATCAATTCTTATTTCTTTATATCTGGTTCAAGAAGTCAGGGAACTGAAGAACGCTTCGTTGCAGGTAAGTCGCTGCTTATTTTTGCAGGCTGAGATTCAGACAGAGAAACCATTATTTACAAACACACTTTGTTAGTAAACACCGATGCTCGATTTGCCAAAAGAATAAGGACATCGTAAGAACGTGCCAAGTCTTGGGTGAAAAATTGAAAAAAGAAATTAGATTTTTTTTAAAATTTACTCTATGATAATAAACTGGGATGATTTTATCAACCGTGCTACTAAACATGATATTTTATCAAACCAATCTGTTATTTGTGGTCTTAGAACCAATTTATTGTATGTAGTTGTAGAAAAATTAATTTTGAAATCAAAACAACATTATAAAAAACCGTCATTCAAACTATCCAAAAATGAAAACATGGAGCCTCGGCAGAAACTATCTGGTTCTTGTTAAAAAAGAGTGTAATATGATATTTTTTTGTTTTTAGTTTGACTGATTTCTTAAAAGCCTAAATGCTCGAAGACCTTTTGCATGCAGTCTATAGTATAGTATAGTATAGTATAGTATAGTATAGTATGGACTGGATGCAAAAGGTCTTCGAGCATTTAGTCATTAATGCAAGTTTTATAAAAGCAGCAGTGATTATCATTCTAATATATAAGCAGAATTTTGAACAAGACAAGTCATTTTTAATCAAATCATCAGCAATTGCGGATGCTTGAAATAAGCAATTATGTTTAGAGGAACGAAGAAAACCCAGAACAGGAAAAGAAATTTCAAAATGTCAAAAATGAAACAGAGGATGGAGGATTAACACGACTACAAGGATATAGGGTAAAGAAAAACATAATCAATGAAGTTGTGCGTGTTGTACGTCGAAAAAGAACAAAATTTGATAAAATAAAATAACGACTTTGTACAAGAAATGAATATTTAGTGCCAAATATTCACTTCTTGTACAAAGTCGATATTTTGTTTCATTAAATCATTAAAGAAAAACATGATTGAATGACTGCTGTTTTTTGATGTATTAATGTAGTTTTGACTGACTGTTTCCATTTTAAGACTGGAATTAGCAAACTAAAAGCATGCCTTAGGAAAAATAGGAAAATGCTTTACATTGTTGCAAGAAAATTACTGCAAGTTATTTGTATTTTAAGCTTACTTTAAGCGTGTGGTCGCGAACAATTTTCTGCTCGCTTCGCTCGCAGCATTACTAGAGTGTGTTGAATCCTTAAGGCGGGTTTCCACTTTATTCGCTCTGGTCGCGCTACTGAGCGAATGCACATTGGGGCATGCGCAAATTGAACTTCCTCATTCGCTGCGAATGCGCGACCATTCGCTGAGTAGTTCAACTCAGTTGAACTACTGGGCGACGGGTCGCGTTCGCCGATTCGCTGACTTGTTGATTCGATTTCGCCAAATCAAGTGGAGTGGATACCGGCCTTTAGACTGCGAAAAGGGACCTTAGATTTGCTTATCAAGTTTGCTTCTGATCATAACAATTTTCGGCAATGCATGATTATCCAAAGTTAGACTCAGTTTTGTCAAAGCTTTCGCCATCTTTTGTCCTACCTATCAAGCCTTTTTGCATAAAAAAATCGATTATATAATCTTCTGGAGAAAGAAGTTTAAAAGACTGAAGTCCAGAGAGTTTGATATACCAGGAAACTATTCTTTTATTTTTAAAGGTAGGACACGTGCAGAAAGTCGACATTGATGATGGAAGAATTCTTTCCTTGATCACAAGAGCTTTACGTCCTCTTACCTTTGGTTAGCTATTTTGATAAGTGCTAAAAGTTACTCGTTCTGAAATGATTATCTGTTTTTATCTTCAATACGAAACAGGAAAATTGATTACTTGTTAAAATGTACAGCTAGCATCTAACAATTTTTGTAGAGAGCTGTGTGTAAAATAGATTGCAATGAATTCGAGTGAGATAAGAAAACACTAACATCTCCAGGTACTTGTATCAGCCAGTAATCAAGCGCATTCCACTTTAGCACATTTGGCAAGTCCATGGCAACTTGAGTACAAAACATATTCAGAAGTAGGCCAACATTTACTAAAGTTTTTATTTCATTGAATTTAAGGTGAAATACGTGCTGATAAATAAAACAAAACATGCGGTTCTGTGACTAGACAGTGGTTTCTATGGTTTTTAGAATAATGATGGAGTAGCCTCTTATCGAAATTTATTTCCTTTCAAACGAGAACGAATGACACACGTTTTTGCTTGACCAACGAAAGAGAGAGCTAAAGTGCGTTCAGCTTTACGCAATTCGACAGCGCATGTTTTGTGTTTAGACTTACATAAAGTATTTAAAGGCCATTTTATGTGCACAGTATCAAAGTTCGTCATTTTAAGTTCAAGATACGTTTAGGACGAGATACGTTATAGCTTCAGACTGAAGTTGTATGAGAATGACTTCACCATATATAGAGTATAATCAGTGCCAAATGCTTTTTTGAAACCACAATTTTAAAAAGTTGATAACTCCTTCCAAAAAAATAACTTTTTAACTTGCCTTTATCTAGAGAGCTGTCCTCTATTCATACTTTCGCAGATGCAAATCCTTCTGATAAACTTTGATGTGGGTGATGTGGCGAATCTTTTTTTGGCTTTACGTATTTATGTTTTCTCTACGGATTACACAACCTGCATCCTTAAAATTATTTATCAGTTTTATGAAGGAGCCAACTCGATTTTGTCAAGTTTAAGGCTGATGCTAGTTATATTACAATTATTAACCAAGGTTAATAAGCAACAATTTTTTTGTAACTGGAGCGCCTTTTGCTTGCATTTCCAGAGATACCAAATTTTCTTAATGACGTAGAAATTGATTATATGGTGAACAAGGCAAAGCAACAAAATTTCATAACGAGTGAAGCAAAATCTGAACTGTCCAAGAAATTTGTTTATGTTAAAAGTGAAGGTACCTTACCTTACCTTGCTTTGCTTGCATATTAATTTCCCCATGATCCATTTACTCTTTCCATTTTTCTAAAGAGGAAATAATCAGGTATAAAATATCATTTGGATTGATTGATCATACCGAACATAAAAATTGATTATGCTGAGCATGACATTGATCACGCTGAACATGAGAGTGATCATGCTGAACATGAGATTGATCATGCTGACCATGAGAGTGATAATGCTGACCATGAGATTGATCACGCTGACCACGAGAGTGATCACGCTGACCACGAGAGTGATCATGCCGAATATGAGATTGATCATGCTGAACATGTGATTGATCACGCTGAACATGAGAATGATCACGCTGACCATGAGAGTGATAATGCCGAGTATGAGATTGATCATGCTGAACATGAGATTGATCACGCTGAACATGAGAATGATCACGCTGACCATGAGAGTGATAATGCCGAATATGAGATTGATCGTGCTGAACATGAGATTGATCACGCTGACCTTGAGAGTGATCATGCCGAATATGAGATTGATCATGCTGAATATGCTCTCCAGATCAAGTGGACTATATATATGCTTACTTTATGCAAATTTCTTATAAGCTTTACAGCTAATTGCAGCATCAATTTTGCTGCGTTCCAACCTTGAATTTGATCAGCTTGCACAGAAAATGTTTTTTGCTGACAAAGAGTATCTGTTGTCTTTTTTTGTAATCATTGTATATACAGGGTTCTCATATTAATAAGGCCTTTTATATCTTGATATTTTAGGGAAAAAGAGAGCTAGACCTGATATAGATTACTTTCGATTTTGGGATATCAATAAAGATGGTTATATTGATATAGAAGAGGTGTGTCTTTAGATGACCCACTCTATTCAAAACACTGGTTGGCCTAAATTACATTCTGCTAATTTTGCTACTTCGATTAGACCCTTGGACAAAACTCAAGTTAAAAGCAAGTATTTTTCTTGCCTCGACCAATATTCGTTACCTCTCATGGCCAAATGCCTCAACTGCCTAATAATCATTTGTTTGACTTCAAATCAATTTCTCTTTTTCCTTATTTGCCACG